ATTTTTAAGTATTTCTCAACTTTCTTAATGACGTAGAATTATCAAGTCTTAAATTTGGTTTCTTATATGATTTTCATTGGTGACTCATTTATTTTTTCCTAATAAAATTTTTCTTCTATTAATCGATGGAGTTTCTAGTTTGATTATTGATTACTGAACTGACAACTCTAATTGAGTACAACCTTTAATGCATTGATATACATTTTTTTTCGTGGCAAAAATGCTAGTGTAGGGTCTCTTTTTTTTGGGTACTTTCATTTAATGTATTGATATTCAATTTTTATTTGAAAACTCATCAAAAAATTATTGTCAAATGATCACAAATATATAAAATGAATCTGATGCCTAAATTTGATGGGAAAAAAAAACTCAAAAATTAATTTTTAAAGAAAAAAATGTAAATTGCAAACCGTCCGCACATCTGCAAACTCTATCCGCACAAACCGCAAACCACACTACGGGCGGTTGCGAGTTGACTTTTTTTTCCAAACCGCATAGATGTAGACGGGTCAAAACCAAACCATAAACTGCACAAAACCGATTCGCAAGCACCTCTACTAGCTACGGTGGCTGTAGGTCGTAAGGCGTAGTGACCATGTTGAGGGGGTTCATGGCAACAGAAGAAAAAAAAAAGAAAAAAATTAATCGTTTTTCATCTTTTCAACAATCACATTCAGTTTTTATTTCTCATCAATCACCTTTCTCACTTATTTACAAAATAAGTTTTGAACAGCTATGCAAAACTTTTTTATACAAAAACTAATAAACTGTAAACCTTATCAAAATATTTATAGCTTTCTATTTATGCTTACAATTTTTTCTTGAAAACTTGAGAGAAAAATTTATTTGGTATCTATTTTCAATTTGAAAACAAAATGAAAATAGTATACAAAATTTATTAAATTTTATTACACACACATAAGAAGAAGAAGTTATTTTCACCTGTTTTGAAAACAAACTTTCATTCATTCTTTTCTCTTTCGCCCCCTCCAATCACCACCTCCCATCCCCATTAGCGTCCACCGCCTCCGATCACCGCCACCACCCTCTTTGGTCACCATTCTCGATTGCCAAGCAACCACCTCTGGTTGCCAACAACCGGTACCTCAAACTCCACCTCAAGCCACCAACCCCGAACACACCATTAGTGTGTTATAAATAAGCTGCATCCAACCAGCTTCAACAAATTGTTCTAATTCACATAGAGAAAGCATATACAATTCACGGGAGAACCAAGCAGAACCTTTGATGAAATTCAGACACATTTTCACCGTGTTTGGATTGTGAATTTTGATAAAAATTTGAAAAAGAAAACAGAAAAAAGTAAGATGAATGTGAATGAAATATGAACAATCTTTTCCTTATTTTATTTTTTTTCATTTTCAAATTTCTATCCAGGTTCATTATCAAAATACAACTCTTTAAATCTTAGATAGTAACATAAAAGAGTTTATTTACATAACACTTTCATTTCATAGACTCATGGTAACAAAAACAAACTTAAAAAGTATATTATTTGCAAAACACAAAACGCAAAATACATAAACTTACAGACACAGCAACGTACACATACATAATCACATGTTGAACAACATATGATGGATGTTTTTCCCTTATTAGTCCTTACGGACCTTATAAAGGTACCATTTTTTAGTACTTAATACGATAATTAGTATGATAATTAATCTTTACATAAACGTATGGAAACATTATTTATAACACACTTACTAGTGCCCGGAAAATAACTATTGACACGATATTCTCTATTTCCAAATTATTCTATTCCTCCATGTCCTAATGTACTTCTAATTATAGGATCAATTGTGATTCTCACAACATCTATAACTCAAGAAAGATTAGGACAGTAAAATCGAGAAATTTGGAAATAGAAAATCTAATCTTAGGAGTTGGATTCTCTCATGTTGATTCAGTCTAGCCTGTAGGACTTGCAGCATGCTCCACCTCGATTAGTTGCTCCGTTTATTGTTTAAACCTTATGTATAGATTATTCAATAAAAAAAACTAAATTAATCCAACATATGATTTTAATATCTAGGTCTTGAAAAAATGGACGATATATTTTTACAAATATAGCAATCATCCACTTTTTTAACACAAAGATAATAAAATCTAATCATGTTATCAGATCAATTTAAATTTTTTTATACGAATAATTTAAACACAAAAACATGAAAACGAAATAAAATGCTTCATCAAAATGAGACATGTAATAATCCTACAGGGTTAGATTGGACCGTCATACAGAGAATCCAACTCCTTTATACCGGCCATCCAAAAATACTTTTCCCCGTTTCATCACCTTCCCTTATCTTCAACCCACTCAAGCTCGCCAGAAAATCACAATTCTCATTGGTGGTGGTGGTGGTGGTACGCCGACCACCCACTGGTACCACCACTGCTGCCGACGTGGATCCTCCATGGCCATAGGATTCTTTCCCAAGCGCATCATCACCACCGTAGGATGATTTCACACGGTACACGTACCTGATCTTAGGCTCCTCTCTCAACTCTTCCGCCTTGTGGGCGAAGAAACAGACTTTCCGGTTGCAAAGCTCACCGGCATAGCAGGTTTGGGTCCGGTACTTCGCGGGGTGAAGCCAGCACTCGAACACACCGTGCGCAAACTGACACATATCGCCCCTCAGGCACGTCCCGTCAACGCGGCTGAAGTTGGGGCACGGAATGGGGGCGTAATTGTACTTGCACGGGTGACGACGCCGTACCTTTTCGCCCTTGTGGGCGAAAGGGCATTGGATCCAGTCGTGACACCGTACTATCGTGCACGGCTTGATTTTAAAGCAGTACATTCGAAACTCATCGGACTCGTAAATAGTTTTGTGGAACAGGCCTTGGTAGTGATATGGCTCGATTTGGGATACGTTGAGCTCGGAGAATTCAGAGTAAGCACGGTTTGCAGATTTGAACATTTTTTCAGATCAGAACTTTTCCGAGAAAATAGTGTAGAAGATATTCAAGAAAGTACTATCACTACTATATGTGAAATTGTTATGAGATTAAGGTTAAGTTTCGCTATCCTAAATAAGTACACATTTTTTATTTTTTTATCTTTTTTTCATCACATCATCTCTTTATTTTTCTGCACATCTTTTCGTAAAAAGACAAAAAACACACTTATTTAGGTCATCCCAAACAACCTCTAAATGATAATTACACTAAAAACCCAGGAAAGTAATGTGAGTGAGAGAGTTTACAGAGAGAGCAAACGCTGTATAAAACATTGATGCAGGTACTGAGAAAAGATAGCCTATTTTTATGATAACTCTCAGTCCTTTTTTTATAAGCATAAGCCATTTTTTCTCAATGCCAAGAAAGGATACTGAGAGTTAGTTCCAAACATTATAAATTTCATACAGTAATGGGATTTCTCACTCAGTGTCCTTTTTTATAAGCATAGGCCATTTTTTGTCAGTGCCTCCATCAAACAAAAAAGCTCCTCTTTCTGTTTCATAGGGTAATAGATTTTCTCTGTCCAAATATCTCACTCGCATCACTTTTCTTGGTTGTAATCATCCTTCAATCTCCTCACTCTAGCAAAGTACTGATTGTCTCCTGATTTCCCTTAAGACTAAACTCTTAATAGAGTCATCTAAGTTGATTAAAAAAAAAAAAAAAATAGAACTCATAAAAGTTTATGTACAAATTTATTCAAAAAAAATTATGTACAGACCAAATTCAATATGAATTTGTACTATACATTGCTTTTTTTTATATATTTTTAGATAAGTTTTATGAGCCTCAAGGATTTTGCTGAGGTAGCAAAAAAGAATATTCTGTTGGCTATCGGATGATGGTGTTAAGGGTGGAATTATCCTGTAGTTGCAAATTTTTAATAGCAATGGTGTGTCATTCTAATAGTAAATCACATACACTAATATTTGCCTTTAGTTCTGATTTGAGTTGAAGGGTATTATTCGGATTCGTGGGGTTTACTATGAGTCTTATTTTGATAATTCGAATTGTTCATTTTATAAGTCCGTTTGTGCATTTCACCCACACAAAAAATTAAATCAAACCAATAATGGTAGCATGTCACGTTTGAATGGTTTATTTTAAAAAATATACTTACCGTCTATTTTTTTGGCGAAAAACAAAATAAATTAGAAAGATTGCGATTATCGAATTGACTTTATTTTTTTCTAGTGAATGATATATAATACAAAATAAACGGTTTGAATCATCAAAATAAGACCAATAGTAGTCCCTACGAATCCCTCAAGTTTTCGTAAGTACAAATTTAAATTTAAGAAAAACTCAACCTTATATATATATATATTCTTGTACGGTAGTAAAATTTTAAAAACATAATGGATGTATAATTTTTATCACTTTACATATTATTATTATTATTATTCTTGTTAGCAATATTATTATTTATTTACTATCTTTAGTTTGACCCAATTAGTATTATAATTCCATAAATGTGTTAATTTACTCCGACATAATAATTCCTAATTAATCCTATATTTGATAACCCAAAGCCAAATTAAATTTATATAGTCATTTATTTAATAGTCTATCATTACATGCAACCATAATTATATATAACTCTAAATATTTATGTGGTACTTAATTAAACGTTCGGGGTGTCACAATGTAGGTTGACTTTTTCGCTTTTTGACTATTTTAGCCTGAGGCTAACAACCTTTGTTTAGAATAAGTTTTTTGGCTTTTTTAAATTTTGTGAAAGAAAAAATAAAATAATTATGAGTTAGATGTAATATTTTGTTCTATTTGACTAAAATAGTCAATTTTATCTTATAGGATTATTTTAGCCCAAAGTGATATCCAAACAGAGCCTTAGTTTTCCATGTGATTTATGTTATCAAATTTAGGAAAATGTTTGGGACTCCCATGATCCCTACTATGTAAAGTTTGAATTTTTTTGGGATTTGTGTCTAATAGTGACCAACATCGCCACGTCCCGTTACGACGACCACTGGCGCAACCTCCGCCGCTTCATGGCCCTGGAAATCTTCTCGACCAGCCGCCTCAACGGCTTCTTATCGATCAAGCGAGATGAAATCAAAATTTTACTCCGTAGATTGTATCGAAACTCGTCTCGTGATTTCGCCAGAGTCGAATTGAAATCCAAGTTTTCTGATCTGACCTTTAATATCATGATGAGAATAATCGTCGGAAAGAGGTATTATGGCGGCGACGAAGAGGAGGAGTTGTCGAACAACGAGGAGGCGAAGGAGTTCCGGGAAATCGTGAGGCAGGCATTCGAGTATTCCGGTGCATCGTACCCAGGGGACTTTCTACCGGTGTTAAGGTGGATTGATTATCAGAGTTTTGAGAAGAATTTGGGGATACTTTATAAGAAAATGGACGCTCTCCTGCAAGGTCTGATCGATGAGCACAGGCGTGACAAGAGTAAGAACACCATGATCGATCATTTGCTTTCCTTGCAAGAATCACAGCCAGAATATTATACCGATGAAATCATCAAAGGACTAATCACGGTTTGTGGACTCTCCCCTCTCTCTCTCTATCTAGCCCATCATACAATTTTTATGCTGTAATTCTGCAAATTAAAATCTATATATATCACCTGATTTTTCATAATAAAAAAATTTAGTTCATAAATTTATTCATTTTCATTTTTATTTTCTTTTCCTTCCACAAAACCTTCTTCCAAATCTTTATTCAAACACAATTTAGTGGTGAACTACCGGACAAAAGAAAACGCTATGTCCGCAAGGTGGCACATAAATGTTTCATCCGCGGCATTATTAATTTCTGATTAAATTAAGAAGAAAGTATTTCATAACAAACTGAAATATTTTTTTTACTTTATATAGCAATCAATATTCATAAATAATTTTTTTTTAAAAAAAGGATATATGTTAGGGGATGGCTTTCATTATTTTTTATTTTTTCATTTTTTTAAGTAGATTCGTACTACAAAAATATGTTTGCAGGTGCAACTCATTGCATTAATAATAATAATAATAATGTATTTATTTATTTTTGTAGATATGAAATATTTTACATACTCAAATAATATTTATTGTGTATATAAACAAAACACCCACACAAAAAATTAAATCAAACCAATAATGGTAGCATGTCGCGTTTGAATGGTTTATTTTAAAAAATATACTTACCGTCTTTTTTTTTGGTGAAAAACGAAATAAAAAAGAAAGATTGCGATTATCGAATTGACTTTATTTTTTTCTGGTGAATGATATATAATACAAAATGAACGGTTTGATTCATCAAAATAAGACCAATAGTAGTCCCCACGAATCCCTCAAGTTTTCGTAAGTACAAATTTAAATTTAAGAAAAACTCAACCTTATATATATATATTCTTGTACGGTAGTAAAATTTTAAAAACATAATGGATGTATAATTTTTATCACTTTACATATTATTATTATTATTATAAATTTATTTTTATACTTTTTTCTTGGCTCTAAAACTTATAATATTTATGGTGCTAATTATATAATGATTTTAAATTATGATAATTTTATTAATTTTTTAAAAAAATTCTACTTCTATTTGATATTAATGACATATGTGACTTTAATAACATAAGAGATGATAGGTTTACTTCGACATATTTTTTTCTCAATTTCTTAGAAAATAAACATAAATGTATGTTTTTTTTTTCTTTTTTTTATTATTATAGTAGCCACTTTAAATAATATAAATAAAGTATAAAAACATGAGGAGGGTGACTAAAAAGATGACACAAGAGGTGCAGTAATGCTAAAAGATAACAATTCAAATACAGAAAAATATGAAAAACAAGTTTACGTGTGCTCCAAAAACTATATACTATTTTTTTTGATATTTTTTGATATATGAATTCTTAGTTAGGGGTGTACTTGAGGTGAGTTGAAGATAGTTAGGTATTGCAATTAGACAGATCGATGTTTCAAGGGCAATGTACTACTGCCAAAGCAGTGTGTACAGCTAATCAAAGCCCTTGAATTAGAATCATCCAAAACAGCCCTTGCGATAGAAATTTTATGAATTCAATTGCACCGTTACCGTAACCTAACCGACTGCAATGAATTCAAAACGTCTCGTCCGCACAGAAACATCCCCCCTCTGCCCAAAACACTTAACGGACGTTTGAGTCTACCTTTTAAATTAACGGCGACCGAAGTCATTGGAGGTAACGGAAAGGGACGGCAAATAAATCTGGTAAAACCTGCATGCCTCCCACACCCAGACGTGGTGGACCGAAAAGAAGTTGTACAGAGCTTTTTCAACACGTGTGAACGGCAATTCGCTAAAGCGGTGGATCATGCAAGTGAAGAGAGTCACTTGGGTCTTCTGGCCCATTAGTCGGTAATTGAGGATTTGGACAAAATCTACAAAAATTTTGAGATCTCAAAAAAAAGAAAAAAAAAATCTAATTTGACCTGTAATGAAAGTTGTCAATTTTTAATTTGTTATAAACTCAATCATGTCGGACTCAACTCTCTTGTCATATTATTCTACATAAATTTAAGGATTTAATTTTTTTTTTTTTAAAGAAAAAGGATTTAAAGTTGTAGATCTCTAACTTTTCTCAAATTGTAAATCAAACTTCATTTTGTACAAGAAAATTCCCACATGTGATAAATGTTTTTTTTTTTAATAACTTGGTATTTGGATCAACTTTTATGCACATCGACTAATAATATGTAACAGAGGGAGAACCTATAAGAGTAACTCAGTTGGTTGAGGGTAAGAGACCAGGGACCTAAGAGTTTGCTTTTCTTTATGTCTCAGGTTCGAATCTCACCTCCAGTTGGCTACTGGCAGGCCACTGCGTCTTTGCCTGGTTAATCAGCTTAAGGCCCCAAGATTAGTCGAGGTGCGACACTCCGAAAGAGTGCTGGCCCAGGACACTCGGTTATCAAAAAAAAAAATGTAACAGAGGGAGATGTTTCTTTACCGTGGTGCATGTTACGCATTTTTGTAGTCTTACCAGATTTATTTACCATCCCTTTACGTTACTTCTATGATTTCGGTAGCGGTTAGTTTAAAAGGTAGAGTCAAACGTCCATTAAGCGTTGGGAGGAGAGAGGGATAAATGTTTATATTATAGGCAGTGACGGAGATAGGATTTTAGTTTAGAATGGGCAATAATAAAATGTTATGTCTACAATAGTGTTCTCACCCTGCCTTACTTCAATCCTAACAAACTTAACCCTAATTTTTAACCAAGACATCGACTTAGACTGTGATGCTCGTTTCCATAAAGAAAGAAGTATTTTATTAAGAAATAGAAATTTCATCAAACAAGTAAAATCTTTTAAATATTTGTACATATATTCATCCTAGAAGAATAAAAAAGAAATACCGATTAGAATAAATTAACAAACATTATAAAAAAGAATAGAAAATAAACATTTAATGGTAGACTTTATAATATTATAAAAGTGATTTTTTCATAAAAAAAAAACATTTAAATTGTACAAATTATAGAACTATTTAAAAAATAAAGAAAAAAATACGAGTATATATCCAAATTTAGAAGGGGCAAAGTGATAAATAATTTATTAACTCATAACTAAACATAAATTTTAGAAAGTTGAGGAGGGGTGCCCCTCCTGAGCCCATGCTCCCTCCGCCACTGATTACAGGCAGTACACAAAAGTGTATATTATATATTCCTTGTTAGGTATTTTTTTTAATACATATTATGAATATAATAATTTGTTATTCAAAAATTAAATAACGTTACTTATTTTTGTAACTCAAAAATGTGTAATTTTAATCACAAATTATCATAATTCTATTAAAAGTAACGCAAATTACAAATACACCCCTTATATTTGCTTACAATATAGATTGTCTCATATAACTTGAAAAATTATAATAAATACCCCTCATCAGAAGTTTTATTTAACAAAACTAATAGAAAAAATGAAATCTCTTAAAATTATCTTAATTATTAATTGAAATATATTTATGATATTATTAAAAATTGTTAATTACCTTGATGATTTATTAATAAAATGAGTTATTTGTAATGTAATTATAAACTTGAAGGGATAAGCTATAATTTTCAAAATCATAAGAAGTAATTTGTATTTTAAGTAAATTTTAAAGGGGGATTTGGTGATATCCCCCTCACTATCTAATTTGTCTTTCAAAGGACAAGAATTATATAAGTACTTTCAAAACCCCCTGATATTTTAAAACTTGTATCTTTTACTATATTACCCTCATATCTATCAGCTCTTCTATTAAGCCATCTTCACTATGTATTTCAGAGTAAAATTTTACTTTGATATAGAGTAAAATTTTACTTTAGTTTCAGAGTAAAATTTTACTTTCATACAGAGTAAAATTTTACTTTAGTTTTAGAGTGTAAAATTTTATTTTCATACAGAGTAAAATTTTACTTTCATACAGAGTAAAATTTTACTTTAGTTTTAGAGTGTAAAATTTTACTTTCATACAGAGTAAAATTTTACTTTAGTTTGTGAAATTACCAAGCTTTACATATTGCCATATCTTGCTGGAGTGTGAATGATTTCCCCCTTATTCCTTTCTAATAAGACTGCCATAACTTGTTCTGTGAATATAGAAGGATGAACACTAGTGTTGGATGTTTTTTTGGATGTTGCCGTTATTGTAAATGTAACCGTTGAATGTGGGGTTGTGCACACGGCCCATAAAAATATAAAAAGAAAATTACGCTTCCTTACAATGTGACCTAATATTTTTCCTTTCACCAAGCACCAAACTTCAATGGATGCATATATATATATATATATATATACATATATTCTACTGTTCCTCATCCACATCCTTGCCAACCTTCTGTTCAACTTCTTTCAATCTCGAAGCTTCAGCCTTCGCATTCAACATCGCAAGCATCTCATCAACAACCTCATCATGTTTCTTCTCCGCTTCCAATTGAGCCATCTCCACCACACTCCGAATCTCCCCCATCTGCTTCGAAACCCTAGCTTTCAAATCTCCAAAGAGCTTATTCAGATCTTGAGACAAAGAGCTTATTTATTAGTTGCAAACAACGAAACCATTGATTGAGGATGAACTTTTGCTATTTTGATCTTCTTATTGTTTCTATGGAGGCATTTGCTACCAGATCTGGTCACTCCGACCAGATCTCCTTTGAAACCCTAGCCATGGAGTCATCATCTATGTATATGCAATAGTTGTATCAGACGAAGCTTGAGAGATTGAGATTGTGTTTAGGGAAGATTTAATTGAGGGTATAATAGTCTGATAAAATATTTAAATAATAAATTTTGTCCTTTATATAAGATTTTATAATTATGAGGGGGTTTTAAAAGTATAATTTTTTTCTTAGTCTTTTTAACAATAAAAGGAAAATAAGGGGGGTTTATAACCAAATTTCCCAATTTTAAAAGATGCATTTATAATTTATCTAAAAAATATATAACATTTAACACAAATACATAACATGTACCCAAAAAAAAACATGTATAACAAGACGACAAGATATCTTTCTTGTAGTAAATGAAGTTTGTTTTACAATATTGGCCTTTTCTCACCTACACCGTAGAAAACAGTCTCACTTACTAATGGTGCCAAAGACCACTTTCAAACCTTCAATGGACTCTTGGAAAAGACACAAAGGCCCTGTCATTGTGCCTTCAGGTACATATTAACATGCAATGGTTTTTTTATTTATTTAAGTTGAGTGGAAAAAGGAAAAAATACTATGATAAACACCCTCATATGCGCCTTATAATTACAAAGAAAAATAACATAATTTTAATTTTCTGAGTTATAACTAAAAAATTAAAAAAATATATCATAACTAAACATAATATGAGACGTAACTAAATAACTTATGAGTCATAATTAAAATAATATCATAACTAAAGAAAAAAATTAATTATAACGAAAGAAGAAAATGACATAATTAAAAATGCATATGATACACCCTTTTTAAAAATATACATATTAGAATTTTTTCCAAAAAAATAGGTTGGGTTAAAAATGAGTAATTCTTTGTGATATATTTGTATTATATGTCAATCAAATTTTAGAAAAATACTATGGTATACACCCGTCAAAAAATATATATTATAGGCATCCTGTAATGTATTTTTGTGGTATATGTTATTTATTTTTAAGGTAAATGTTAATTAATTTTTTTGGCAGAGTTATTTTTAGGTTGGAGGAGGATTCCCTCCAGTCTGGATTTTGGATTGGAGCACGCTGTTGGGCTCGTGGGGCCCATCATGGATCTCGTTTCAATGATCAGAATTGTTCATTTTGTTGAACACTTCGTGTATTTCATCCAAAAAATAATTAAGTCGATTCGATAATTGTAATTTGTTCAATTTTTTACCAAAAAAATAAACAATAATTGTGTTTTTAAAAATAAATTATATATTTTTTTAGTGACAAACACAATAAATTGATCAAGTTACAGTTATCAGATTGGCCTAATTTTTTTGTGGATGAAATAAACGAAGTGCCCGACAAAATGAATGGTTTAGATTATTAAAACGGGACTCATGGTGAGCCCCACAAGCCCAAACAGCGCCCTGCAGTCCAAAATGTGGACGGGGGGATCCTATTCCTATTATAATTTGTTGTTAAAAAATAAAGTTATACATTTTATAGTAATGCTACACATTTTTTTTATCTTAATATTTTCAAACAAAAAAAAGTGTAATATTATCATAAAAATGCATAACATTACTACAAAATATGTAATTTCATTTCTAAATTACAAATTGTCGTAGCTCTATTAAAAATAATATATAACATTACCACAAAAACACATAACATATACTACAAAAATATATAACAATAGTGCCTATAATACACATTTTGACGAGTGTCTCCCGTAACAATACCCTAAATATCATGTCAATATTTAAGAATCCCATAACAATACTTTAAAATATGTTGTATTTGGTTGCGAGATTTGGGAAAGGATTTGGAAAATGAAAGGGAAAATGTGTGTGAAATTATGTGAAATGTATGTATATTTTATTCACATTTCACATACTTTTTTTTCTTTTTCTTTTCCATTTCCTTTTCCTTTTCCTTTTCCTTCTCCTTTTTAAATTCATTCTTAAATCCTCCAACCAAACCCAGTAAGATACAATGAGATGTCTATGAATGCATCATATACATGTCAATATACATTTTAAGAATAGATACCTACACTGATATATATATATATATATATATGTATATGATTTCATTATGTATTAGCTAATGCTATGATACATACAAAAAGGTATACCAAAAGCAAGTTACAACATTTGTGAAGTTAATTTAAAAGTAATATCATAACCGATATCACAATAAATCATAACTAACACCTCAATAAATCATATTAAAAAATCATAAATATCGTAATTTGGAATAGATATCATAAAATTTCCTCATATCTTAAATGCATGATATCTTTTGGATTCTTGTCATTGAAATAAACGCTAAACCAATTTTTTTGTTTGATATGAAAAATGAAAATTTAAAAATAATATATTTTTATATTAAATTTTTAAATTTTTTTCATCAATTAAAAGAAGTTAAAATTGAGATAATATTTCATTCAAATAAACAAATCTTAATCACAATTACTTGAAATCTGTTACATAGATCTATAGATTTTATCTCCACGGTGAAGATACAAATTATCATAATATTAGTATTAAAATTTTAAAAAAAAAAATCTAAAATGGAATGAAGGAGCATTATATACCTAAAATGCATTTCAACCTAAATTCCATACCACTAATCATGATTCAGTTGAAGAATGTCTACAAAGTAAGAACTACATGTTCAAAAAAATTTACTATTCTTAAACGTACAAGTTCTAT